CACTGTTCAAGAAAACCCACCTAACATGGAGATGGTGCAAAGTCATATTGCAGGTAGGGTTGATTTCTCCCTTGATATGTCCCTATTTGCAGCTGTACAGGCTTCCGGAGTGGAAGAATTGGTGCATGGAGCACCGCACCAGGGACATCGTAAGCCAAAGGCAGACATGATGCCTTCTGCAGACTTTAGACCTGCTAAGGTTGTGCATGCTTTGCAGTGGGGAGGTCATCCTGGGTTATTTCCATAGGCCCACTCTAATCATGGTGCTAGTCCCTGCAAGAAGAGAACCTTTTCTGACTGTGGTCAGAGGGTGATGTGCCTGTGGAGAAAGGTCAGAGAGATGCGATGTGGCTGGTGCTGAAGAGGAGAAGGGTTAGCCAAGGAATTCAGCTCTCTTTGCAAGCTGGGAAGGCAGCCTTGGAAAGGAAATCCAGAAAAGGACTCTGCTTTATTGATGCCTTGAGTTTCCCCCAGGAGCCTATTTTGGACTTGTGACCTCCAGAACTCTAAGACAATAAATTTATGTTTTTAAATTTAATACGATCCCATCTATTGATTTTTGATACTATTGCTTGTGCCTTTGGCATTCTGTTCAGAAAATCTTTGCTTAATGCCTGTGTCATCAAGACTTTTACCTATTTTATCTTCCAGCAGATTGCTTCTGTTTTAACATTTAGATCATTGATCCACTTTGATTTTAGTTTAGTACATGGTGTGAGAGAAGGATCTAGAGTATATGGGTCTTCATTCAGTCTTCTGCCTGTGGATAGCCAGTATTCCTAGCACCACTTATTACAAAATTGGAGAAAAATCACCAACTGTGTACAACTCACACAGAGGACTAATAGCTATACTATATGAACAACTCAAAAAAAATCAAACTCTCTCAAAAGACCCAATCAAAAAATGGACAACTAACATGAACAGACACTTCTCAGAAGTACAGTTGACCAATGAAAACAGGAGAAAATGTTTGACATTGCAGGCCATTAAAGAAATGCAAAGGAAAACAACACTACAATTCCATCTTTCTCCAGAAAGAATGGCCATCATCAAGAAAACAAACGCTGCTGAGGCTGTGAGGGAAAGGACCCCTTGTACATTGCTGTTGGGAATGTAAACTAGTATAACCATTATGGAAATCAGTGTGGAGATTCCTGAAAAACCTGAGACAAGACATTCTACTGGACCCAGCTATTCTCCTATAGGTATCTTTCTGAAAAAGTTAAAGGCATCATATTAGGTAATACACGCATAGCCACATTCATAGCTGCACAATTCAAAGTGGCTACATCTTAGAAGCAGCCTGTATGTCTATAAGCAGATAAATAGGTAAAGAAAATGGGGAGCGCTCCTTTGTCATTTGTAGAAATATAGACAGATCTTGTGGCCATGTTAGATGAAATAAATCAGCACACAAACTTAAATATTACATGGTTTCTCCTGTCCAAGAACCTCTGAATAGCAAAACAGATGATAATAGAAAATTAGGGAGCTATATCTTTTTCTAGTGGGAAGGGGAATCATGAGATGGAGGGCAAAGAGGGAAAGGATATAAACAAAGATGTGTGATGTGTTATGTTTGTGTACTAACTCCCCATGAGCAATTGAATCATGTACTGATAAAAAATAAAAACTGAAAAGAATTTAAAATGCATTTTACTTTAAAAATAAATTCGGGGGCTGGTGAGATGGCTCAGTGGTCTAAAGCACCTATTTAGAACAAGCTTAGCAAAGCACAGGGACCGCGGTTCAATCCCCCAGCACCACATGCCAGCCAGCCCCGCCCCCTGGTGGGCAGAGCTGGCCACACACACACACACACACACACACACACAAATAAATAAATAAAATAAATTTTAAAAAAATAAATTCGGGTTGGTTTAAGCCACTACGTTTAGTAATATGGCATAGCAGCAATACAAAAGAGTCCAGGGAAACTACTGGAGACTCACCGTTTGTTAGGGGCTCCCCATGTGACCGCTTACAAGCCTTTGCATTTGTTCCCTTGCCTTGGCTAGTTTCTTCGGCAGTGAATTCAGTCTCCTGCTCGGGGTTGTGTCTTTGGATCTAGCCTACAGGAATCACTACAAGTGCTACAAGAATCAAGGGTTGAATGTTGGCACTGGAGGTTGGAGGAAGTAGAGGGCCTGAAAATGCAGCCAGAGGGTTAGAGAAATGATCCCTGGAGGCGTGGGCCTGCAGCATGGGAGCAGCAGAAGCTAGAGGCTGCTAGAAAGTGCAAGAAGCCACAGCATCTGCCCACAAACAGGCTGCCAAGTGGGAGCCAACAGACTGAAGCCACCATGATTCTGATGTCCCTTGTGCCTTCACGTTTGGCGCAGGTTCCCCTCACCAGCAGACTGCCCAGAAACCATGCAGAAAAGAGGATTGTGAGAGATGGTCCTGCCTTAGCTAGGCATGACATGACAATGGTGCTGGATGACTGGCAGGAGACAGTCCAACTTGGGATACGCCCAGCTGCTGCATCCTGGAAGCTGAGCTGAGGAGAGGGGCTGGGATACTCGGTGTTCAGAATATGGAGTTAAATTGAATCCTCCTTTTCAGCATGGCACCCTGTGCTCCCTTCAGCGTGCCTGATGTTACTAGGTGCAGAGCTCTCCGGAGAGTGGGGGTGGCTTGGGGAGCAGACCAGGATTCATTGAGCCCTTCTGCTTACCTTGAAAGACTCCTGCTTCCTTGCCCCACTTGACTTAGAGGTTCTGCCCCTCCTCCACCTCCCCAAGCCTGCCAGCCCTTTGGCATTGGTATACAGTTGCTTCTCATGGGACTTTTTCTCTAAGGTCTCAGGTATCTGCATTTGCGTTCAGTTAAATTTAGTGGGAAAGTAGGGTTTTTGGGTTTTTTTATATTTATTTATTTATTTATTTATTTTTTGGTACCAGGGATTGAACTCAGGAGCTTATGCTTGCCAGGCAAGCACCTATTCTACTGAGCTGTCTCCCTGGCCCCGCATTCAGTTAAATTTAATTACTACCTATCAGTTCATTTGCTGAAATTATAGTGATCGCACTCATCTACTGATGTCTGCACTTTTCATCTGTTATGTCAAAATTAGTTCATACTTAATCCATTATTATGATGTTGCTGGAATTTCAAAAAGATAGATCGGCCCCAGTGTTCACTGTGTTGGGCTGCAAAATTTTTAAGATAAATAGGATAATACAGTACAAAGAGCTCAAAGTCAGGTGACCTGGGTCTAGTTTCAGCCACTTTACCATTTTACTTCCATGAAACCCAGTTTCGTCTCTTAAATAAGTTCATTCCATTGGAGTCCCTTTTAAGACAACAGTTAAAACTATGACACTTCTACCTGAAGTACAAATCCACACACATCCAAAACTGAGTATTTGAACCCCCAGCCTAGAACATCTCTGAAGTGACTCTTAGACCTGACATCCTGAATCTCAAAGGTGTAAAGTTTAAATACAACGGGATGATATAGTAAGCCATTTTTTAAGACTATAACAATTTTTTTGGTGTGGTACTGGAGACCAAACTAAGGACCCTGACCGTGCCAGGCAGGTGCTTATGCCACTGAGCTGTATCCCCTGCCCCTAACAAAATAATTTTCACATTGTATTTTGAAAAAAACCAAAAAAGCCAGAGTCAAGGAGGCAGTCTGAATTCAGTTCAGTGAAGGCGAGAAGCTTAGAGATTCGAGTGGCTTTTAGATGGCCAATGAGTGTGCCTATTGGAAAGGGTGACAATTTCTCATTTGCTGTCCATGGAGAGTGTCATGGAATCCAGGTAACAGTCTGGTCATTTTAAGTAATGATGTCAAGAAACAAAATACACTACGGCCTGTGTAGTAGAATCCCTATGTGGCTGAGGGACTCCATCGCTTTTCTTTCTCTCTAGTTCTTCAGGACCTGTAGGGCAGGCAGCACAGCTTCTTGTACTCTGCATGTTCTGTCAGGCCAGGAGCCGCATGATTTCTCTTGGGCTGAAGACAAGTGCTTGACAACAAGACTGTTCTCTCAATTATAGATAAAGCTAAGGAAGGAGAAGGATTACAGTTTTTGCCCAAATCAGGGAAGTCTTAAGATCTGTAGTAACTGTCTTCCAGGATATTGGAGCAACATCACAATTACACGGACTTTAATTCCTCAACCTGAACTGATCTGAGATCATACCCTGTGGTGTTAAATGTCTCCACCTGATACCTGCTCAAAGCCACTTTCAGCTCCATGTGGCACCATGTGGGTATACTTGTGAATGGATGAGTGTTTGCCTTGGTGCCAGCTTCCTTGGCCATCATAACTTAGTTCTTTCTCTTCTTTTTTAATTGCAGATGCTATCTTTTCCTGCTAAGGGTTGAGCATTGCTTGCTGGAAATACCTGGGACCAGAAGTGTTAAAATTCTGGATTTTCTTGGCTTTTGGAATATCTCCACGTGGGTAAGGAGCTGTCTTGGGATGGCACCAAAGTCCATACACAAAATTGATTTATGTTTCTTATATACCTATAATATAGCCTGAAGGTTATTTTTTTTTTTACAATAGTCTATTACATCTGAGTTTTGACTACAACTAGTCACAAGAGAACAAGTATGGATTTTTCTATTTATGCAGACATGTTAGTGCTCAGAAAGTTTCAGACTCAAGCATTTGGGATTTTGGACCATGAGATACAGGTTTGCAGCAGCACTAAAACAGAGGCAACAAAAGGGAAGAGTCCTCAGGACTCCACCAGGCTTGGTGAAAGTTGGGAAGAGGTATCTTTATCTTCCTTACTCTGTTCCATTCAGGTATGTTGGCCACCCACTGTGGTAGGCTTTAATAGAGCCTAGAACCTTGGTGAGATTGTTGCTAGTAAATTGGCAGAAGGATTTGCTGACAGCAGTGTTCTCCCACCATCTGCTTTTCCCTCTTCACTTCTTTTAAGGGCCAAAGAGCAGTTTTACCAACAGTTTGGGAGCTGCTTTGTTTAGAAAAGGTTTTTCCATCCAAATAGCCTTAGTGCCCACTGGCTACCCCTGTGCATGTGGCAACAAAAGATGAGTGCCTCAGCGGGGAGTGCTCTGTCCTGGTATGTGGGTGCGGCTAGGGTGCTCTCGGCAAAACCGTGCTGTCTCTGGACTAGCACTGGGTAGAGCAAGAAAATGGTAGAGTAGCGGGCATGGGGCTCTTCCTCCTGGGAATTGAAAGGGATCCAGGAAGAAGTCAAAGAGAAGGCTGAAGGTCAGTTTTGCTTCTACTAACTCTGCAAATTGTACCTCCATGAAAATAAGAGGTCCACAGAGTTATGGCCCAGTACCAATTCATACCAGACCTGAACATGTTGGCCACCACCTGCTATGGGTTGGGCAGAAGAAGGTGCAGGCCTGGCAGAAGTTGAGTAACCAATACTGTGCCAAAGGCTTGATGTGGCAGGAGGCGACAGGACAAAGGCATCAGGATGTGCCAGTTGGGCACCAGCCTTCTTTAGCTGTCAGAACTGGTCTCAGAAGAAAGGACAGCCCTTGGGTATACTTTTAGAAGAGGCATTTTTTACTCTGTGCAAACAGCTGCCTCTCCCTGAAGGCTTCCTTCTTGTGACTGAACAGGCCAGAGGACAAGGCCAATGGCAGGAGAACAAGAACAAAGGCATTGTGTGGGTGGTACACAGATCCTTGTTCTAATCCTGCCTCCCTGTTTGCCTGTGTCACAAAACAAACAAAAATAATAGATAGGTGAGTGGAAAGAGGCTTGGAAAAACGAAAGCAGAACTTCAGTAACAGTATAATCAATAGACAATGAGGTTCCTAGGGAGATCCTGCCTCTACAGGACTTTGAAATGGCTTGAAAAGGTCCTAATGCTGTGCTGACCAGGTGTCAGTGAGACCACTCACCTGAGTGTCCCTCCTAGGCAGGGTCAGTAGTACCTGGTTAGAAGTCTGGAAAGTAAAGGAGCTGAGTATATAAAGAGAAGAGGCCTGCGGATGTGTGTGCCCATCTTCTCATCTGGAAAGGCTGTGGCCAGGGAAGGTGCTGTGGGGGCTGGGTCCTGGAGGAGCTTTCCCTGCTCCCACAGGGAAAAGTGAGCTCTGGGCTTGACCTTCCACTTACCCTCAATTTCAGGTTGGGGCGGATGTATCTGAGTTTTCTCTTCAGTGCTCTGCAGAGTCCTAAGTCTCCCTGAGAAGCCCCCTCTTGTCTTGCAAATTAGGACATCAGCCCTTGGAATCTGCACTGTGATGGGCACTATCCAAGCACCAAGAGGGGTTGCTCCATAGAATCCCCAAAGCCCTGCTCCGTGGGCCATTCCCACCTCAGTCCTGGTTCATGCAGATAAGCTGATTGCAAATGCCACCCTTCTGTACTATGGAAATGCACACTGTTCCGTAGATGAGTTGACATCTAGCCCAACATGCCATAATGTTGAAGTACATTCTAAGTACTATAAAAGGGACCCAGGATGGGAAAATCCTGACAGCTGAAATATGCTCTGATCCTGTTCTCCCAAGCAGAGGCTCCTTCATGGCTAGTCCCTCCTATACCAATTCGCGCACGTCGTTCACACCTCCACCTCCTCATGTTTGCACACAGCTGGTGCAGAGCTGCCACTTGTGTCCATGGAGCAGATTAAACACACTCTGCCCTGACCTGCCTGCAATTATCCTCTCGCTGGTTGGCAGTCCTCAAAGGAACAAACACAGTCTGCCCAGGCTCCCAGCAAACAGGATCCCAAGACTTACAACCAGGATCTCACAGCAGAGCGGAATTCGGCTCGAAAACCAGACCCTATCAACTCAGATACATCCGCCCCAACCTGAAATTGAGGGTAAGCGGAAGGTCAAGCCCAGAGCTCACACTCCAGAGAACTACATGGTTAGGTTGCAGGGTAGAATGGGTCGCTGTCCTGTTGCTGTTCCTGTGACACATGGCATCTCTAATACACAGGACCCATTCTCTTCACATTGGAGTCACTGTTTTTATGTTTTCTCGCCTAGTGAATTGTAAGCTCTGCTACTTTTTTTTCCAGTAGAATTCAGGGTATTCATACTGATCTCTATCATTCATTCATTCATTCATTCATTCATTCATTCATTGATTTATAAATTTATTTTGAGACAGGATCCTGCTAAACTCCCCAGAGTATCTCTAAACTTGTGATCCTCCTACCTCAACTTCTTAGTTCTGGGATTACACACATGTGCCATCATGCCTGGCCTGACCATTTGTTTTTGAGACAGAGTCTCACTGCGCAGTTCAAGCTGGCCTTCAGTGCACTATGTAGCACAGGCTTGAAACTTGTGGCCATCTGCTTCCCCCAGCGTCCTGAATGCTGGGTCTACAGGTATACTTCACATCCACTAACTGTAAGCATCTTTTTTAAAATGTATTTAGTACAGGTTCTACAGGGTCTCACCACTCAGATTGGACTTGTAGTGATCTTCCTGTTCTCAGCCTCCCAAGCACTGAGATTATAAGCACATGGCACCACACCCAGTCTCAATTGCTACCTCAGTGTGCCCCAGGGGTGGGGCCAGCACTGCATGCTGGGAATCAAACCCTGGTCCCTGCATCTGCCTAAGCAGGCACTTTAATCTGCTGAGCTATATGTCAGGGTCCCACCATGTGCCTCGCACCAAAGTACTGTTTCCCACAAGCTCTGCTTCAGAGGACAGAAAGTGATTATGTGGTCAAGCTTTTCTCAGCAATGGAGCAACACCACAGTGCAGCTGGGGTGCCCAGGCTGAGAAGCAGCTTAACAACTGGCAAACCCATCGTCACTCTTCACATGGAACAGTGCGTGGCCTGCCTTCAGCATACTTTAAGCCAAGCTGTTTCCTGACCAATCAAAACATGGCATATTTAGATGTTGTTTAGGAACTTGACGCATCATAATCTACATTTATCCAGAAATTCTCACCAAATCTTAGTAATTTAGCAAAACCCTTTCTCAAAACAGAAAACTAAAACCTGAACTGGAGTTGTAACTCAGTGCTAAGGCCCTGGGTTCAACAAGAAGGAGCTCAGAGGAGTAGGAAAACTCTATAAACTTAAATGTGTGGCTACAGCCAGGAGGGAGGGCATATGACCCTGTCCCCAAACCATGTCAAATACATTCTGCAAACATGAGGGGATCCACAGCCCCTGGTGGAACAGAAATTTCAAGATCAGAGTATTCAGCACCATGGCCAGAGCCAAAGAAATAAGTAAATCCTCTTTGCGAGAAGAAAAGAAAGGGAATCTTTAGTAGGGGAAGTATCTGTCCATCTTTGCCACTTCGATGGCCTTCAAGCCAATGCCCAACCCAGCCAGAGAGGCAAAGGGTCAAGACGCCCAAGTCCGTGTTGCCACAGTTCCTTCTGTCTTCCGGTGTCATGGGCACCTGCTGAGCCTCCTGCAGGCCAGGTGTGAAATGAAGATGGCCTTCTTGCGTCTCCACAGCACCCTGACAGAGGTGAAAGAAGGGAACCCGCACGCCCTTCCAGAAGCATGCGTGCATGAACGTGATGGTTTGCCCAGCAGAGGTGAAGACAGCCATTCTTGTTAATAATCTGTCCGCCTCATGGGACCTGCATTCCTAAGGCGGTATGTGAAGTTAAGCCACAGGTCAAATCTAATTTGCGCCTTAATTTTGGACTTGCAATGCAGTGGGAAATTAAAAACTGACAACCGCAACAGTTGTCTGCCTTTCAAACAGGAATCCTAGGCTAAGCACTGTACCTAATTTCACCCAATCCTCACTGGTCTTTGCAAAACATGTGTGTTATTGTCCCCATTTTCCAGGTTCACAAATAGAGATTTGGCCAGATCGAGTGATTCATTCTGGGTTGCACAACTACTAAGTGACAGTGCCAGGGCTTAAACTAAGATCTATGGACTTCAGCAGATCTGTGTGTGCTCAGGCCTAAGGAAATCACCATAGAGAAACAACCTCCTCTGTACTGGAAGGAAAGTATGCTCAAATAAATACAAATACAGTCAAAGTTATGAACATCACACAGAAGTGCCTGTATCATGCTGAAAGGTAGAGAGGCAGCAGAAGAGGGACAGTGTCAGGTTTTGTTCCTTGATTTGCACTTCAGTGTCACTTTGGGAACAACTATGTTGAAAAAAAATATCCTATGCCCACAATCAAGTTGTTTTCTTATTTCAGGTTTTCAACAAAGGCAAAAATGAAATCCTTCAGCTAGGAATTCCAGTGTGAAATGAAACCCCCGAGAGGAGAAGACCAGTTGCCTCTCTACCTCTCCGAGTGGCACAGGTGAGATTAGAACACCCGCTGATGATTCTCATCCAGTGACCCGGACACATCTGCATACCCCTGCCTCCTAGTGCCCTGCTGTTGACACATGGCAGAGCAGCCTCAGAGACAGAGTGTTCCTGGGAAGTAGGTCAGTGCTTATCCCTGCAGCCTAGGCTTTTGCCACAGGGCCCAGTAGTTACCTAATTATTAACTACAAACAATTTAGCAGTTAAACACCTAGAGTGGAGTGCCTTGGTGCTTTCTTTAAGAGCTCCTTCAAACTCTTTTTCTCCCCCATTTAAAAAAAATTTCCAGGTTTCCAAAGCAGATGCTCCTTCTGTGGAAAAGTCTAAGGGCTGTGGAGTCTACTGGATGTCCCGCTTGCCTGTCCAGATCTGCATCCTGCTTCCCTGCAGCTGGCCCATGACGTACCTTCAGGCTGGGCTCCGAACAATCACACCTTTTCTGATCCTGCCTGTGCAGATCGCCAGGCATCTTCCACTCCGGACAGAGGCACTTATGAACGATGTTAATAATGTGAGACAGGGGCCAGGGAGATGGCTCAGTAGAATAAGCACTGGCCTGGCAAGCTCAAGGGCCTGAGTTCAATCCCCGGTTCCACCTCCAAACACAAACCAATAAACGACAGATCAGATTTCTACTGAGTCTGTGCTCTTTGCCTCACCCTACAACCTATACTTAGACAACTGGCTACATGTTTGTGGCATGAGGTGAGCCTGGAAGACAAGGCACATGCTAGCGTACGCCCAGGTAATACATGTCAGCTCCATTTAAATTCTTCTTGAATGATTGAAAGGGGACCAAAAAAAGTGAAATTTACATACTGAATGGACAGTGTCAGTAAGCAAAATAGCGCCAAGACTATTTGTGGGAACTGTATGGGTCTGTTTCTTGAGCTGGGTATTTGTGAATGCATTCCTAACTTTCATTAGCTTGATGCTCCTGTGAAAAAACAATGTCTATAAAATTTACATTGCAAGTAACTCCTGGGGCTGCTACCACCCTTTTTCTCATTGCCCAGCCCAACAGCATATACCTATTTTGTCTAGAGGATGAGAGAAAAACATATTCTACCAAAATACTTATTTGACTTCTATGTGGCCACCATCAATGAAAGAGACTGTCAGCTTAAAAAAAAAAAAGTCTGACACGTAAGTGGCCTTACGGCACTAATGCGCCAAGAGTTGGTAGGTATTTATATGAAAGTCTCTGTGTTCCTGACTGGGGGCTGCCCCTTCTAGATGGTGGTAAGCTGGAGCTGCTGCAGCTCTCGCGACGCTAAGGTGATAAGCATGAGCATGACAGCTAAAGAGGCGGAGAAAGCGGCAGGAACCTGGGTCCAGGACGACCCCACTGTCTTCTTCACCTCCCAAGATTGCTCCATATGTCGTCATCACCCACACACCCAAGGTGCTGTTGATATGGTTCTTGTTGCAAGAAGCCAAAGGCAAAAGTAATCCATGCGGTCTTACACACAGCTCCTGTTTCTCAACCTCAAATTAATCTCCCTTACATTTAGGTGAAAGTGAAGTAGCCACATTACCCTAATTTTGAGTCTAGATGTTGAGGCTCCTCAGTAGACTGTCATACTCCTTATCATCAAAGAGAGACAGATAAATACTGCCTGGAATTATGTGGGAATAAAATGAATATATATATATATAATTTATTATTTATTATTTATTTACATGAATAATTAGTGACTTCAAGATAAAATACACCTGTACACACAAAGAAATTAAACCTTCTAGATTGGCAGATATTGAGGCTGCAATACCAAGCATCAGCAAGTTCAGGTGAGTGAATTGGTGCGGCTGTTCTGGAGACCGGTGAAGGTGCTGCCAGTGCCGATGAACGTAACGTGCTGCGCAGGCTTGAGTGCGGCACTGAGATACTTAGCAGGATGCTTACTGTCACACCGCTTTTTCTTTTCTTCCCCACCCCCTCAAATATTGGAGGTTGAACCCAGAGCCTAAGCTGCATCCTAAGCTACATCTTCAGCCTGTTTTTTTAATTTTTTAGACAGGCGTCGGCTAGGTTGGGCTTGACCTTGTGACTCTCCCGCCTCAGCCTTGGAGGTACTGGGATTACAGGTGTGTGCCTCCACACCCGGCAAAGCAGCACTGTTTTCTAACAGAATGTAGAGGCCTTCTAAGTGTTCATCAGTAGGGGACTAGACAGGCATCATGGTGCCGTGCAGAAGTGTTAAGACAGAAATGAGAGTATGACTCAGCTTTATATACTTTTTTTTTTTTTTTTTTTTTGCAGAACCAGGGATTGAACTCAGGCCCTTGTGCTTGCCAAGCAAGCACTTATTTTACTGAGCCATCTCTCCCAGCTCTACATACTGATACAGACAGACCTGCTGGTGTTTTGGGCCAGCTCCCAGCAGCCAAATGGTAGAACTGCAGCCATTCTGCAAGGTGGTTGGTGCTCCATCCATCCACGTTCGGAGAATTTATAGCATGGAAATGGGCAGCAAAAGCTATAGATCATTCCCTTACTCCCCCACCAAGCTGGTTGTTAAATATTTACCAGCAAGTCACATGAACAGATTTCAAAAAACAGTGTTTATTTTAAAGGCAAGTTTGAGAGAAGGAGGAAATGTTTTGCTATTTAATTAGTCTAGAGTTTCAGTTATGCAAGATGAATTGTAGAAGTCTATGCAGCACAGCACATAGTCAACAGTACTGTATTGTGCACCTAAAAATTTAAGAGTATCTCACATAAAGGGTGCTCAGTGCGCACACACACACGCGCACGTGAAAAATAAAGCTATATAAGGAAACTTTTGGAGATGATGAAATGTCCTTTGTCTGGATTTTGGTAATGTTCCACAGGTGTGGATGTGTCTGGTCTCACCCGATTATACAAAGAGTCATCAAAATATATGGTCAATGTTTAAATTTTTTAAAAAATTATTCCAATAAAAGACATGGTCATTAGTTACCATCAAGATATGCCCCCTCACATTCTGAAGCAGCTATGAATGTGTGGTGAACACTGCTGCTAAGCGCCACCAGAAGAAACGAGCCCGCAGAGGAGCCCTCTGCTTTATTTACCGCATCTGGCTGGTGTGGCTCCTGGCTCTTTCTTGAAGTCAAAATGACCAAGAAGCCTAAACATTTTGTGTTGATTCACAAGGCATCCGTGACAGACTTCGAGAGAAGCTTCAGAAGTGGCCAGAATAATGGGATAAATGTGTTCAGAGGAAGGAGTATTGGGAGTAGAGATTGATGACACTATCTTTTACTGTAATAAATTTTTAAATTATATGCTTTTCAATTACCAAATGTACTTTTCAATTATACCTTGTATAGATTGAATATGTGCAATTTCTTACATGTAAATTATACTTCAATAAAGCTGTTTTTTAGAAGGCAAGTTGTAGAAAGACCTAGCATAATAGCCTTTACCTGAAGTTTTTAAAATATATACAGAAATGTTATAATATTTATCTCCGGAGAAGGGACAGTGTAATAATAGGTATGGTGAAAGGAACAGGGCTTCTTGATGTGTTTTACCATTTATGTTCTCTTTATTTTATTTTAAAATATTTGAAGTGTTGACACTGGTTAATTCTGGGTGAAAAATAGAAAATTTTCTTACTCTTTGCTTTCATCTATTATTTAAATTTCAAAACCCTTACAAAAAATGGAGAGTCAAAATTTGTTCATTGTATTTCATCAACCATTTATAGGCATGTAGAACAGTACAGCGACTGTGCAAAGCAGCATGAAGTTCTCCAAAATGTAAACAGAATCATCCTGTGACCCAGCAGTCTACTCCAGGTGTGTGCCCACGAAGACCAAGAACATATGTGTGAACTAAAACTTGTACACAAATGTTTACAGTAGTAAAGCTCACAGTAAAAAATAGAAACAACCCAAATGTCCAACTGGGAAATGGATAACTAAGCTGTAGTTCACACCCACAGCCTGGCTGGAATGAAAAGGGAAATGGGTATGATGAGATTATGGAAAAACTGGAATCCTGGTGTCTTCCTGGCAGGAATGTAAAGTGGTACAGTCACTTTGGAAAATAGTTTGTCAGTTCCTCGAAAAGTTAAACATACATCATATGACCGTATGACCCAGAAATTCCTCTCCTCAGTATAACCCAAGGGAAATGAAAACACACATCCTAACAAAAATTCTAATGGACACGAATATTTATAGCAGTGTCATGTACCATCACCATGCCATAGATTTGTTAGCCTGTGAAGAGAGAAACAACGTATGGTCTGTCCAGACAGTGGAATATCATTCAGTCATCAAAAGAATTGAAGGACTGGTACATGTTAGACGAATAGATCTTGAAGATGTTATGCTAAACCAAGCCAGTCACAATAGATACGTTTTATGCTTCCACATTTAATGACTGTTTATATGAAATACCCAGAATAGACAAAGCCATACAGCCAAAAGACATACAATCAAAGCACCCTGGTTATCTGCCTCCAGATCACACAGGACCACTTGCAAATGATGAAACTCAACACTTCAATGCATGGTCTGAGAGAAGGGATGTAGCAACTGACTACTTAGTATAGAGGGTTTTTAAAAAATCATTTATTATTTATCTATTTATTTGGTACAGGGTCTCCTATGCAGTTTGGACTTGTAATCATCCTCCTGTCTTAGCCTCCCCAGTGCTGGGATTACAGGTATGCACCACCACACCAGGGAGCCAGCACAGTATATGGTACTGGGGATCAAACCCCCATCCTTGTGTTTGCCAGGCAGATGCTTAGACCCCTGAGCTATCTCCCCAGCTCCCTTAGTATAGAGTTTTAAACAGAGTTTCCTGTTCTGGAATTCAATAGCTGTAGTAGTTAAACAACATTGAGAATGTGTGAATGTACTGACATGTAGTGAATTTCAATTGTAAAAATGGCTATTATCTAGTGGGTTTTTTTGTAAGAATCTTTTTGATTTATGTCTTATACTTTGAGTAACTACTTTGAAAATGATGATACACAGTGTATTAACTATTATTACCCTCTTATTTTTTTGTTATGAGATTTTGTTGTATTTGTTTCATAAAATAAAAAAGATCCTGAACTCTTAACCCTCATGTAATAGTAACCTTATATGGAAATTCTTTGCAGATGATTATGTTAAAACAGGGCTATTGGAGCAAGCCCTAATCCAGTATGACTATAACCTTCTAAACTTGGGAAGCGTGGACACAGAAATAACAAGCACAGGGAAAATGACATGTGCACATGAGGGAAGAAACAGATGACACTTCTTCAAGCCAATGAACATCAGAGGCCGCAAACCCCGTGCAGCTGGGGGAGAGGCATGGGCCCTTCCCCGTGCTTGAAGAAACCAAATCTTCTCATACCTGGATGTCAGACTTACAGACTCCAGAACTTGAGATAATACATTCCTACTGTTTAACAAAAATGGTTAAAATGTTGAATGTTGGTCATTGGAATTTTATCTCAATTACAAAAGTCATTTAGACTACGCATGACGTCCATGGTCAGATGATGCTACGTTGTAGGCAAACATAGGTCCTTAGAGTTGATGTAATGTGAGAGTGGATGACATAAAGCTATGGTTAAAGTTCAGAGATTTGCAAACGGGAATGTCTCTAGAAACATTTGCCTATAGTGTCTCTCTGGGGCACTGCACAGAGAACATTGAAAGCACTAAGACGTGTATAAAATAAATGGATACTTGCATACATACAGATAAATGCACTGTGAAACCATTTAAATGCTTTAAAATAATAGACAGGAATGTTCATTAATATATCATTTATACAAAGAATGAATTGTATTTAGTGTTATCTCAACATTATTGAAAAAGTGTATCTATAAGAAGGGAAGAAGCCTACTAATTTATTAAGTGATTTTCTATAAGTACAGTGAAACTGCTCTGACATTTATTTGTGCATAGTTTTATTCATTTTCCAAATTACTACAATGAGCCAAAGTGCTACTCTCTGCAGTTAGAAAGAAGTCAGTGAGTGTAACGGGAAGAGCACATCGGCCCAAGAATTAAGAGCAGGCAGTGAACCCATAAATGAAAGAGAAAAACCAACAGCCACTTGTGCTGGGAAGGGAGAACCCGGCCACCTGCTGAAGGCTTCCCTTACCAGCAGCTTTTACAATTCTGGGAATGTAAGATGCCAACATCTACAGATGACTCTTCTGAAGGGCTGCCAGCCCCTGAATTCAGGGTACAAGTCTTTCTATACCAACAACACAGTTTCTTTCAGCCTAATAGAAGGACAAACAGTCTTGCAATGTGAATACAACCTTCAAGTTTATCATGGGGGAAAGTTACCCATCCATCAAAGCACCCTGGTTATCTGGCTCCAGATCCACCCAGGACCATTTGCAAATGATGAAACTCAGCACTTCAGTGCATCCACCTCCTCCACTAAATTGCCTTTCCCCTTACTGTTAGGGACTGAATTGTGTCCCCTGTTAAAAAGTCAGATGTTGGATCTGACCACATTCTGAAAACTGGATCATTAAAGAGGAAACTAAGTTCAGATGAGATCGTTACATGTAGATCCTGATCCAACAGGACTAATGTCCTTATAAGAAGAAAGTAGGACAGATGCCACAGAGGAAGACACTGTGAGGACAGAAAGAGATGTCACTGATCTGTAGGGTATGGAATGAAATCTCAGAAAAAGAAAGAAAGAAAAAAACAGCTCTGCTGACACCTTGATCTCAGACTTCTGGCCTCCAGAGTGGTGAGAGTAAATTTCTACTGCTTAAGTCACACAGCCTGTGGTCTTCATGATGGCAGCCCTAGTACAGCCAGACCCTAGCCTGCCGTGTGAATGAGACATTCGATGATGGCTTGGCTAATATTATGGGTTACTTCGGCTGAGCTCTGGTGCTCAGTTACTTGGTTAAATCCTATTCCAGATTTTGCTAATTTGGTATGTGATTGATATGTCAACAGAGTTTGAATAAAACAGATCACCCTCCAAAAAGGTGGCTGAGCTTCATTCAATCAATT